GGAGCAGCAATTGAGTTATTTCACTGTTCACTAACAGTTTCAAATGTAAACAAATTGTGGCGTCGTTAGGCCTAGCGCCACTTCTAAATTGTTCATAATTCTAGTACTATTCCTTGCAGATTAATTAAAGCTACAAAAACCTTAATTGGAACATAAGAACAACATACTTAAAGCACTTTTAAAGCAAAAAATGCGCAATTTACCAACATATAAGAAAAAAATACTGAGCTCGCCGAACCGTGTAATAAGATACAAACATGTAATATATACATATTTGATGCGGCCGATTGCAATGAAAAAGGGAGGTGCATAACTACATGTTATAGCAATCCCACATACAAAATTTCTGCGTTCTACGACTGCTCGTTTCTCAGTTATGCGAGATACATACGTATGTACGTACAGACATAACGTAAAAAATCCATCCTGAATCCATTTTAAATACATTTGACAATACGTTTTTGAAAGGGGGGAAAAAAAAAAGTCCTTACTTCTGTCCGTACATACAGCTGTCATCCCTCAAAAATAAGTCAAATAATTCGAATGGGTATTTTTGTGGAAAAGCGGTTCCCGAAATTTTTCGCGATTACAATACTTCCTTTACTTCGTACAAGGAAGTAAAAATCAGATTCATATATTTTTATTAATATAATGCAGTCTCCGATTGTTCGTGTGGTATAGCTGTACGTTTCGCATTGCGATGATACTAGTTAAGGCAACTCTCAGGTATTAAACTGGAATTGTAGAATCATACTGCAATTTTTGAGCCCAAAGGGCGTTAGCCCAGAAGAGCTATTAATTTCCTTTCGGTATTTTCGTGGTTCGCTATAAACGGCATTTCACTTTTCAAACTGTTGAAACCAAATATTAGAGCCCTGCATTATATTTAAAGAAATGAAATAATGAACAAACTGCATGAATGAATGTATGTATGTTTCTCGCATGATGAAAAAAAAAAAAAAAACAGTACCTAAATACATCATATTTTTGAATAACGTAGTCCACCACTCGAATACGGGCATCTGAAAGCTCAAATGTGGAATTTATAATTAGCCCAAAGGGGCAATTTGCCCAGAAGGGCTATTAATTTCGCTTTGGCATTTTGCGTTGATTCTCTATAGACGACGAATCACTTTTTAAATTGTTGAAATCAAATAGTAGAGGCCAGTATTATATTTAAAGAAATTAAATAATGAAAAATCTGCATAAATGTATGCATGTTTCTCGCATTGTGATAAAACAACGGTACATAAGAGCTATCAAATTTTGAATAACGTACGTCAACACCCGAATACGGGCGTCTGGAAGCCGGAATTTGAAATTTTGTAAAACATTTATGAGTTTTTGATTAAGAAACTCAACGATTTCAAAGCGAGCAATGGCAACACTGCACGAAAAAAAAAAAAGTTTTTATCTCCAGCGCGCGAGACTGCATCGGAAATTCTAAAGATATGCTCTTTTAAATATTTCGTGATATTGCTATTAAATTGTATTTCATGGTTTAAGTGCGAAGAACATGATATTTAACAAATAAAGGTAACACACAAAACGTTAAAAACAGGGCGTAATATAAAATCTGAAAGCTTTTAGAATTTTTTCCCTTTTAAATATATTTTTAAAAAGTCTCTGTTATGTTAAATATATATATGAAATGTATCAATAAAAATGTAGGAAAACAAAATCCGACACTAGACCTGCTGAAACGCAGTTCCAAACACATGTGGATTAAAACGACGCGGAAAATTTCGCTTATTTTCCTTTTGATAAACAAACCATTTAACAGCTGAGTCGTACCTACAGAATCATCAGTACACTTTCGCCTTCTTTGACCTAATTCATTACAAGATAGCGGTTGTATAGTTCTCACTTGTATCTTTAGCTCTGCATTTTTTTTTATTTATAGTTACTATGTTCATTATTTTAAGTATTTTGCCCAACTACAGAAGAGAAAAAAAAGTCGATCAGGCGCTGAGCGCGCGTACTTGTCCCGAATGCCGCATGGGTCGTGACGTCATGCTCCATGGAACGCTGACGTCATCTGTGGATGATGACTCACGCTGCTGTTGACGCAAGCCACCGGTGGAGAAACATAAACCGTCATACAGAAGTTTGCTCAGCGATCTGTTCGCTGTGTGTGCGTAATCGTTGGAAAAGAAACTGCAGGGGCAATCAAAGAAAAGTACTTTTCGTACACGAGAATAAGAGACTTATTTAACGGGTAAGATGCATTTAAAAGTTTTCAATTGTATTAAAATGTCTAACATCCACGTCGCGCTGTGCTCTGAATGTTTACATATGGAGGAAAGGTAATAGTACGAGTTTAGTTGGGTGACGTAATGAGGAAGAATAAACGCCTCCTGGAATATGTTAACTGGGTATCCCTGAATAGTAATATACAACTATTACTTTATCCATAATTTTTAGTTTTCTGTGCGTTTAGCAATTTTTTCCTTGTTACATTGCAGTTGATTTTATATAATTATGTTTAAATAATTTGCTATATTAAACGAAGAACTAAGATATTAAAAATGTAACTTGTGTTATATAGCATATTATCGCTTTTTTTTTTTACATTGAAAAATAATTTTATAAAATGTTAAGCATAATAAAATATTAAATTAGAGATTTAGAGCCAGAATTTAATTTTTTATGAATTTACATAATAATAATACGGTAACTTAGATTTAAGGTGAGATTGTTTTAATTCTATAATTTTTAAATTTTTGTATCTATTGTAATAAATCTTATGAAATCTCAAATATATGGGAAAGTTGTGTCGAATTTTTGGAAATATTTTACAGTGTTAATTATATTTTATAGGTATTTATTTGTCTTTAATGCTTTTAACATACATAACATTTCAGGTGATAAAATAATTTCAAAGTATACGCTTACAAATAAAAATTTTTACTTATTTATTTTTATTCGCAAATTGACTGAATTACCACTGGAATTTAAACAGACCATACTAATTTTGGAAATTCTAATGTGTTTCGTAGATGGATAACATTATTGCCGTTACTGCAATAAAATGTAATATTTCTCTGAGTAGTTTAACATCTTGGAAAATAAGTTTTTAATAAAATTTTTGTCTCTTTTTCTGGTTATGTATTTCGAAATAACTTCCTGCGGTTCTTGAACGAAACGATCCAGTTGCGCCATTGTTGCGTGAATCACTGCGTAAACTTGTTGCTTATTGAATGACTTAATACATATGAAAAACAACTAATTGCCCAATCGAGGGAAATAACGATGCCGTGGAGAAATATAATGTGCTGTATTACAGGATCCTATGCTGAAGTCCTGGTGATAATGTGTGTATAATGAAATATAGTTATTTCCCATTTCAGCAACATTTCCCCCCCCCTCTTATCGTAATTTAAAGCGAGTACACCAGCGGCCGTTGAGTGACTACTTATTTTCGGTTCCTGTTTTAAGGAGTGCGAAATAATTTTATGAAAGTTCTCATCCCTTTATATTTAATAGAATTAATAGTTGCCATTTATAACCACTTCGTGTTCTAAGTGATGATTTAAACTACTTTGCGTTGTAAAATGAAATTTAAATACGCATAAAAAAAGTCGGGAGGGAGGAAGAGGGAACTCTTGATGTCCATTGATGGAAATCTAGAGGGGGGAAATCCTTTGTTATGCGGAAAGATTTAAAACAAACTAAATAAATAGAAAGTACTAACTGATGTGGTTCGCATTTGCATATTTTTAACAACAGAAAAAACTGCGTACAAAGAACTAACTATATATATATCTTACTCAATTATATTTAAATTTGAAAAAAAGTTCTTCAACAAGAATAATGCAAAAATTTTGGGATTTCTCCAATAAAATTTATGTGCATAATAAAATTACTAAGTAACACAAAAAATCGTAATCTTACATCTTAAAATCCCAGATAGATTAGTAATGGAGTTATCCTAACAAATAAAATTGCTTTTATTTATTTTTTTCTCCTTCTTAGCACCTTCAGTCTATTTAGTGGCATATCTCTGGGAAATGCGAATTCCTAATAAAATATTTTTTACTAGGAACAAAACAGGAATATAAGTAATGAGTATTTTAAAAATAATAGGTGCTATTCTAAGCAGATGTTATGCTTGCATTGATTTAATAAATTTAAAAGACTGAATGATTTAGTTACACATATGAAAGTTAAAATTTTTTTTTGGGGGGGGATTTTGAAAGCTTATATTACCGATTGCTAGATATTTATTAGGATACAAATCATTGGCATACATTTTAAAATCGTGTGAAAATGCCAGTAGCTTAAGGGAATTCAATCAAAAACATTTTTAGAGTAAAGTATTTTAATGATGGATGGAATTTGTGTAGACGTATTTGCTTTTATTAGATCTATAGACTTTCCAGTTATAACCTATTTGGTGCGTAAGTTTGGGCGGGAACGAAACGGTGCATTCCTTCGCAAGAGTAGGGATAGAAGGGGGCAGGTGAAACAGTTATTCCTCGTTTTATGTTCTTGAGGAAAAAAGCTTTCTCACCAGAGCTTGACGCTGTGATCTCCACCTGCCTGTCGGTTTTTGAGGTCAGAATGAGTCAGCATCAGTTCACGCAATTCAATCTGCTGAGTGACCAAACTGCCTCCCGTTATTCGTCTCTAATTCCAACGGGAGGCAGAGGACCTTGCCTGTATGTTAGTTGGAAGTTAGGCAAGGACGTTTGGCAAAATACTTCCACACGCTGACTCACGAAGAGCCAGCAGCCTCCAAATATACAAACGCGACGAGGTCTTGGCAATTCGACGGCGGAGGGAACAGGTAAATCTCGTTTGAATGTAGACCAGTGAGCCGATTCACTCGAATGTGATGTTTGAGGTCGTGCTGTATTCCGTGATACGGGGAAAAAGCAGTTCCCGTTGGATAATTAATCCGGAGATATCTTTACAAGGATGACTGTTGTTTACAAAATAACCATGTGCAAATGAGGTCTGGTTCTGCAAGAAGTGTTTGATACCGAAATGAATTAATTTCAGTGCTGTCATCATTCAGAAGCCCATTCGTAGACAGGAGTGAAAGGGAGTACAAGAAGTCCAGAATTTTTTTTTAAGATTTCAAAAACTTACTCGCACTTTTTTTTTACTCTGTCTTGCAAAGGAATGGTCAAGCAGTGAACTGTAAATGAGTTCATGTGAGTAAATGCATACAGTATTATTATATTTATAAATACTTACGAGTCAGTCTTTTAAATTTAAAAATACGAGCAAAATGATCAGCTTATAAGCTTTGCATGCACAATCAATAGCAGATTTTTCAACAACTAATCTTTCCCTATTTCTACATAGGTATTAGAGCAAAAGTTAGCTATTTTTATTTTCGATTATTACATTAGCAACATCTGTAGCCATCCTTTCTTCAGGTTACATTACTCAATCAGGGTATTTTTTCCATGCGGTATACAAGCTCTTTATCTTTAAAATTAAAAACTGTATACGTTATTTACAAGCTAAGCGATTTTTAAGCAATGTTTGTAATACTTATTAATTTATACACGATTTTCTAATATTATATCGAAATGATATAATGCATCTCAATTTTTCTTCAAATTCATCGCGTAATAACGAGTTTGTTCTATCATATTTGTTGCGCTGCGAAAAGATAACTGATTCAGAATTTAAGAACATCAGTTTAAAGCGTTTTAGCTGAAATTTTAATGTGACATTTCTATTTAATTTCTCCTGCATGATACTTTTCTGTGGCTCGTATTTAAGAGGAAATGTGAGATTTAAAAAGCGGAAGCAGTGAGTAAGCTTTCAAAGAATTTGAACGTCGTTTCGTAGGAATATAAATATTGTACTTCTGCGCTAATAATACAGTGTAATTTTAGTTCCTTAAGGCAGGAAACCATAATTTCTTCATTTCGCTTTCTTTGCAGGTGTCTCTAAAAAAGTTGCTATATTTAAAACTCATAAATTATTGGTTCAAAAGGATAAAGAAACATTAAAGTGCATTTAGTAATAATTTATCTATTTGTTGATAGAACTTTTGCTGTGCTGTTTCTGCTTTTGCAAAAGGCGTGAACTTTATTAAAATTGTACTTTCATACAGCCATTAATCAAATAGTTTATTATTATTTCTATAAATAATAACGTTATATTTAATTTGGCATACTGGTTTATTTCATCCGCAGAAAAACCGTTACTTTCGCGGCGCGAAATCTCGTGAAGTTTTTTTTTTTTTTTAAACCCTGCCGACAAAATTTCTATAAACGAGTAGACGAGACAAATTCAAGATATGATAAAATGAGAAAATATTTAAACTTTCAAGGAATTTTGAGAGATGTTGCCATGTATGTATTTAAATTCACTAATCTTCTTTCAGACTTACAGCACTGACACATTATGTGTTCTAACCGAAATGCATACTGAAGTTTTAAGTTTCAAATATTTTACTTGTTTATATATTTTTAATTCTTTTTCTAATAAGATTTATGAATTTAATTAATCTTCTGCAAAAACATGTATTTTGTAGTCATCTGAAATATTTAATAAATTAAAATTTACTAGAATTACTAATATTTCTATTGGTAGTTTTGACAAAACCTAAAAGTCTGTTTAGAGCTTAGCAAATGACAGAGATGACTAAATGATGGGCTGTCCGCGAAATTTTTTCTCTTTGGCCCACCGCTACATTCCGAATTTTTGTGCATTTTCATGCAATTAACGATCTGAGAATTATTATCATACAAGAGATTTTTTGAATCTATAACCACAAGAATTTTAGAAAAGTGGATATTTATTATTCCACAACATATTGTTAAGTATTTGCTAAACAGAAAATGTTGTACTGCACGCTCATGACGCAACTGAAACTAAGCCTTCAAAAGTACCGAACTTGGCCTCCACTGATGCACGAGATATTCGCATATTAAAGTGTAAAAAAAGTTCTGCTGCCGAGCGATAATTTTTTAAAACAAAAAATTGTGTTTTCCATAAATACAGTAACAATCTGAAGTATTGCTGCCGGAAGTAAAATCTGTTAAGTCAAACTTAACTGTAAATAAAAGCAGGCATAAAATTTGTACAGCTCCGCGCGAAACGGATTTGTCTAAAGTTAGCTGATAGATAACTTGCGAGCGCAAACTTATCAAGATTTCGACCCCTTTCTTAGCAGACTTTACGCGAGGTTGAATCAGACGAAAGCGCAGATGGTTCCCATGTGGGCCACCGGAAATCTCTCCCCCCTTTTCATTTCCTCTGTTTTGAGGGTAGAACGAACCCAAAGATAACCGTTGGGAAGCCGTTTCACGGGCGCACCAGGCTTCATTCATGAGTACGTTCATTATTCAACTGCAGAGCCCCCTTCTTCCTCCCCACTTTTTCTTGAACAACTCACTCCCCCCTCTTTAGTTTTCCATAAAATAGGTCTTTCTTCTCGTTCTTTAAAAAGTATTTTGCAATCTGAAAGTTTTAGTTTAAAAGCTAGAATAAAAAGGAGAGTTTACCATTAAAAAAACATAAAACCACACTGATATTTCAAATATTTCTCATCTCTTCTTAAATAATACGAACTGTTGTTAACTCAAAATTAAATCGCTGCTGCCAAGTAAAATTAAAATTTAGTTCTTAACTAATTTCAATTTTAAAAAGCTCCGTTCTGAATTGTTGGGAGGGGAACACAATATGGTAAAAAAAAAAGAAAAGATTCAAAATACAGAATTGCGTTACCGTCTCAACAAAATTTAAAATTGAAATATTTTCATGTAGGAGCTAGTAAACTTTAAGTTAAAATTTCTGTTAAAAATTATAAATTTACTCTTTTTTAAGTAACATATTCTTGTAGTATGTTATTGATTAGCAACATCTATTCATGAGCGATGAGATTTTTATTGCAAAATGAAGGCAATAATATCTCTTCAACGTGTTGATGACATTTGGGGGAAAAAAAAAAAAAAAAAAAGTGCATGTTTAAAAGTTGAGTGTGTTTTCCCAAATGTAAATATGTTGTATCATACACATTCTATCGTTCATTTTTTATCCACCGCAAGACTAACATAATATGTATGACCAACAGAATATACATGACAGATAAGATACTAACATCATATAAAATACTAGATTGTATCATACGCGTTCTATCATTCATTTTTTATCCGCCGCAAAACTAATATAATATACATGCCTAACAGAATATAAATAATTCTATACATGATATATAATTCTATACATGACAGACAAGATATTATAATATACATGGTTTGCTGCAGTTTAATGTACTGTTATTGAAACTTTAATAAATGAAAACTTAATATATTGCATGATAAGTAACATAATTATGTAATAAATCTGTAAAGGAATTTCGCAGAACATTGGCTAAAAATAAATCTTCCAGAATATGTCAAAATTGTCCATACTTCCAGAGAGAACTAGAACGACGAAATGTTTAATTAAAAGGCATCTGTATTAAAAACTTACCTAAAATTTTTATCCCTTAGCAGTAACAAAGAATGACTGTTATATAGAACTTTATTCTTATGTATTTGCGCAACAACCATCTTCGTGCCAGTGTGGCGCTTCTTACAGAATAATAATAATAATAAAAAAAAAAGACATATAACTGAAACTTTACTACATACATATTTTACACATAATACTACTATACTATTTACTACTATATACATATTTTACGTTTTAATACTGAAAATCAATCAGTAAATCTACTTACGAAGATATCCTTTTTCATTTCTTGTCCTCGTGGAAATCGCGAGATAAGATTCAAAGTAATTGTTCTTTTTAGCAATTTTGCGGCAAAATACCGTATTCCTGCAGACATTTTACTGTAGTTTAGTCCACTGAAGGCAGATACTTCAAGTGCGCATTATAAAATTGAATTCAGGACAAAAATATCGCGATTTGTTGATATAAATCTTTGCAACTTCACCCACAACAAGTAATAAAACGCAGACGAAAATGGCTATGCTTCTTGTTAAAACTAAAAAGTTATTTGGGCATGGTTACCAAAGTTTGGCGGATTCTGAAAATTTGGCGACTACTTAAACTTTTACCTATGCCTACTTTCCTTGAACAAATATATTTACTAAAATTAAAATTATTTCTTTACGTTAAATTTTTAAAACCAAAAGATTTTCTATGTTGCATTACATGGGCATTACATTTTTGCTAGAAGATTAAATGTTTTTTTCATGTCAAATTCCTATACTATATATAATAAATAAGTAGGAGGAAATATTTTGACATAATGCATGGTAAAGAAAAATGATATTTATACCGATGTGATGTAACTAGAAGTTTTAATAATGATACTTCTTTAATTACGTGTGGGTATACTTAGTGGTCATGAATTTTATCTTTAAATTAATCTCTCTTTGCTGAATTCTTTTTGTGAACTGTTCCTCCTTTTCTTTCAGTCCCAACCTCCAGGATGTCTGGAGGCGTGGATGTTCAGCTTCCAGGAGACCCTATCTTGTCAGAGCATCATGGACGACGGCGTCCTCAGATCCTTTATTTGCCTTCCCGTTCCACAAATCGTAGACGTCAGGTAAAAGATCACGTGAAGCTGGTGAGCCCTTCGGAGCTGGACTCTGCTTTGAAGCAGGGCTCACCACTTGTTCTTGATTGCAGGCCAGCCTTTGCCTTTGGAAAGGGGCATGTGGCTGGTGCTGTGTCCGTCCGCTGTTCGGATCGTATTAGCCGGAGACGACTACAGCATGGAAGATTGGGTTTATGCGACTTGATCTCAGATCAGACAGCCAAGGAAAGGTTGGAAACCTGTAGGGGCTCTGAGGTGGTGCTGTATGATGATGGGACGTCTGAGGCAGAGCAGCTAACGGAAGATCACCCTTTGTCTCCTGTCATCTCTTCAATCCGGGAGATGGGAGCCCGTCCTGTCTTGCTACGAGGTAAGTACTTTAAATTTGATTTTCATTAAATTTACTGAATAATAGTAGTTTCACAGAGAAGTTGTTTTTCTAGAAATGATTGTGTAAAGTTTGAGCATTTATTTCAAATTCAATGTAAGTTTCACATAAATTCTTCTGAAAATTTCTCCACAGTTTTTCCTTCTCAAGAACGCTTAGATGTCCCTTTCGAATTCTTTAATCCAAAATAATATTTTGAAAGACCATATTATTGAGGTATATCTGCATAATATTGAATGCTGTATATTAAAAATTACAATTAAAAGGCCGTTGGTAGTAATTGATTATTGTAATTATTATTCTTAGGTATTTATTTTCTCTATCCTTAAGAAACTATAAACTGATCCCTCTTTAGAATTTCATTTCAGTATTCATGCTTGCTTTACGTTTCGTATAACTCCGACATACAGTAAAGTTTTATTATTTAAAATCAAACCTGGAATTTTTGTAGAAAATCGTAGTAATAATATCGTAAATCGTGTATTCCATTTTGTTTCTCTAAAACCAACTTATGTTCTAGGGTTCATATAACACTTAAAATTTCAGAATGAGAGACCAACCTAAAAATATACGATTGATACAAATAGGATCAACCTGTTTTTCAAAATTAAAAACGGATTAGCGTATATTCAAATTTTCGACGAGAGATGTAGATTGTTCCTGTATGTTAACTGTTAAATTTAAATTAGGGAGTAGTGTTAAATGGTTGGAAATTTATTTTAGAAAAGTTTTTTGGTTTTCAGTTAATAACTCCTTTTAGTTCAAGAGAAGTCATTTTACAGAGTTCTGATTTCTCTAAATGACTTCCTCACATTCGTCTTGGACACACAAGCTTTTGTTCAAGCATTCCTGATCTTAGACGAATCTAACGCTTGCGAGTATCATATATCAACTGGTTTCTCATGCAGATAGCAGCTAGCGAAGATTCGTAATGGTAATCTCATATTAAGAAAAAAACCCTATGCTGTCCAGAGTTGGTGATTGTCCTGATGAGATGCAAACGAATCCAATCGCGAAGCGTCCATTTGGAGAAACCACATCCGCGTCAGTATCTTCGAAGAATGTGGAAGAAGGGAATTCCCACCAAGGTCGGGCAGCGAGAAGAGGGGCAACACGTCTCTGACTGCTTTCGGTTCAAGGTTATGTCCCACGTTTTCCCAGCGCCTACCTTGACACTGAGACTTCATCGTAAGCTGCGTGAATAACCCGAACGGACCGGGTGAGAATGGGCACTCCCTCCTTATAACATGACCGCAGCTAGGTCTCGGCGGGGGTGTACTCTTGTTGCCAAGATAGGTGACAAGCCGAACGGATTGAATTTTGTGGTGGATGACTATGACTATTACTTATAAACCTTCAATGGGAAGAGAAATCCGCAAGGATCTTATGACTCTGGTTGATTTTCCATGCCTATAAATGGGAATAGCACTTGTACAACTTTTTTCCCGCTTTGCCAGTAATTATTTAATGGAAGTTTATTAGATACTAATCCTTCAGTAAAGAATGGTCTGAAAATAACAGAAACACGGTCTTTCAGGTTTATTAAATATAAATTATTATAGTTGTTGGAATTCAGATTTTAATCATGTTTTGGTGTAGTCCTGAAGATCTTGAGGAGAGGACATACCTCCCCGTAACTTAACTGATTGTAACACAAAATAAATGGCTTATAATTTCTGCAGATTCATCACGTTTGGGTATTTCAATTATTGTCTCCTAAACCTGTTTTCTTAATATTGTCAACTGCTTCGAAAGTGTTTTCTGAATTTACTAGAAAGAAATTTTTGTACTCCTAAAAAGGGAAGGAAAGACATTTCCTAAAAAGTAAATTTCCGTGTCGTGTGTTTATCTGATCTCTATGAAATTTTCATAAATACTTGAACTTTAATATTAACGCTTATCATGGAAGGATTTACGGATTTGGTATTTAAATAGCTAATGTCAGTTGAATTATAAATTAAATTGTTTTATTCTCCGCGCAGTGCAGCGCGTGACGAATATTAAAGGAACGCTAAGCCATAAAATTAAAAATACAAGAGCACGTGCATTTAACATTTAATAAATAAATAAATATCTCATTTTGATTTCGAGAAAGTTCCAGAAAGTTCTCGCGCGCGGTTTAAAAATCTTATAAAAAGGAGGAAAACCTCTCAGTTCAGTCAGTCAGTGATTTTAGTTAGTTTGTTGTTGTTTTAAGAGTTTGACAAAAAAAAAAAAAAAAAGTAACGATAAACAGTTTGCATATTATCTCATGGTTCTTTAAAATATCCTTTCGTCGCCTTAGTTGGTATTGGTTTGTTATTAATAAAATAAAGCAATCTACAAGTATCTCATTTGAATCTTTGTTGAAAAACTGTCACTATCTGCGTGCGTGGATTGTCAAAATTAATGTGTTAATAACAGTTAGGTCATTTCAGATTCGTCCGGATAATTCTGATTTTGGAAATAATTATTATTCGCTGTTGATACATCACAATATATAAGAATGACAAAAATTAACAAAGGCCGGCGTGGAATCGAATTCATAGTAGGACTTCGATTTTATTGATTTTTATGTCAATTCGGAGCAGACACGCTTAAAAGTTTCCAGTGGAATTCATTTTGTGTGACTAGATAGATCACAAGGGAAAAGAAGTACGAAACCTTCAGTTACCATCCCTCGAAAAGAAGAGCTTTTGACCAAAATGGACCCAACATATTGTTAATGCAGAATTATAACCAATGTACAGTTGTCTACTGTCCTGGTTTTCAGTCGCATGTCTCGGTTTCCTAATAGATCATCGAATCTTCCAGTTCTTAGCCTTTAGCCTGCCGCCCAGATGGGAAAGTCTTTAGTGGCTCTGATTGCTATACCGAAGGGCCTGGGCTCGAATTCCGGAGAAGGCATCTGTCCCTTCATAGGAGGTAACCTTGGCTGCTCATTAAATGCCTCCATAATAAATACCACCGCTTCTGGCCTTAATAGTAGCCAAAGCCTACAAAGGACTATTGCCCGCCATTAAAAAAAAAAAAAAAACTTTTAGCCAGTCATTCAGCCTCTACCAGCGTGGCTTTGTTTTTTCATTCGTCAAATTACAGAACGAACGTAGTAGCCGATATGACAATTCGAAGTATTAAGTGAAGAAGAGTGCAAAAACGGGTTTCTTACATCCAAGCCGCGTACATACTTAAGTCAAAGTGAAGTGAAGTGAAGGTATTATAATAACATTACCGTTTATGAAAGTGAAGAGAATTCCCCTGCATTCGTCCGCACGTGCCATAGTGTTTTAAATTTGCAGTTAGTTGTTAACTAATTAATTTTATTATTTGGCATTACTTATTAATTTTATTTTCTTCGTATTTAAAAGTATTTTGTTAAGATAAGTAAAAACTTTTCTTCCTTGCTCAAGATTTTGTCAGCATAATAATTTGAAGAAAATTGCAAAATAAAATAAAACTACTCAAAAAAATATAAACAGGCCACATTGTAAATAATTCAGGAACCAGAATCATAACATTATAAAAACGTATTTAAATCAATTATGCGTTCTCTTGGAACTGTGCATCTGTGAAGTGTGAAATCCTCCCGGTGTTTGGCCGGAAATCTCCCCTTTTTTTCGGATATTAAGTCTGGCAACTATGCCAGTGGTCTTTAACCTTCAAAGTACAGTTATCGTTGAAGAACGTATAGTTTAGAAAAGCCATGCAATTTTTAAATCTGCGTTTTTAAATCTCAACTAAATTATAGTTGTACTCATGAGTCCTTATAGACTTTTTAAAAGCCGTGGAACCGCGACGCAGATAATTGAATCTTTTTGTACTGTAGAAGAATTCAGATCTCAAATAGTTATTAAACAAAATTTATTTGTCATAAGCAGTTAACTTTCGATAACTACAGAAGTGTAGTATACGAAGGATGGTATTTTAATTTCCCAAATTCTTGAGCGTTATTGCGTGAATGACGGGAGAGCTCCAGTGAGTGGTCGGACCAATCAATTAGCATGTTTCAGTTCATTAAGCGGGGGGTAGTGCGTAATCTGTCCAGGTCGCATCATCGCTTGTTCTGCGTGGTGGAGGCGCGGACATGGATATCCGGGGTGGGGGTGTGATTCATGGCATGAGTGGTCCCTGAATCACGACACCCCAGATTACGTCAGAAGACCCGCGCGCGGGACCGTACTGTCTGTCAATCAGGGCAGGTGGCCGGTGACTAACGGTCCTCGTGGTACATAACCGTAGCCGGGACGGATGACCGTGACTTGTGCTGAGTGATCAGATCTTTTCAGCACTCATCTGAATTGAAAATGATATAAGAGCTGAAGTCGTTTATGGATAGGTACTGCAGAAAATTCCTTTTTTGCCAGTGTTATTTTGGTTCCATTCATAAAACCTACAAAATCTTGCATAAAATTGGTAATCTTGCATAAGATCGCACTATTTTTGCAAAGGGAAAATCTTGCATAAAATTGGTAATCTTGCATAAGGTCGCACTATTTTTGCAAAGGGAAAATCTTGCATATGGTAATTATTTAAAACCAATTGGTAATTATGTAAAAATTTTTATTTACCTTGTTGAGCCATTAGATTATTTTGAAGCAGGAGATATGAAAAATGAGCACTGGACTCGAACCTGGACCTTTCGAATGTGCGCCGAGTGCGCTACCGTTACACTACGAAGGCATGAAGATAAAGGGAGAAATACCTTACGGCTTAAATTTCTTAATCTGAGTGTCAGCAGACATTTAATGTGTGTTTGCAGGTAATAAATGTTATTAAAAAAAGGTTGCTGTTACAGAATGGTCGTGCGAATTGCTAAAAGGGATCGTTTTTAGCTGTTTTTCAACCCTTTCGCGATACTTTGAAGTTTAATCGTAAGGACTGTTATGTTTACTCATTTGAAGCCTTATCTGAAACTTATTTTTTTAAAAAGGCATACAAATTTATTAAAAAAACTGTTGTCTATAAAAAAAAAGATGTTTAGATTTTTAAATGCAGAAAAAAAT